CCAAAGGAGAGAGATCAAATGGTTTAGGGTTCCCTCTGTATTTGTAACTAACTTGGAGCATTCCCTTTTCAAAACTTTTTGTCTTTCCAGGCCCAGTCTTTGTTGTCCAGTGGCTGTTCGATGAGGCCCAGCTTACTGTAGACAATGTGCACCTCACTGGCCAGCCTGTTCAGGAAGGACAGTGGCTCTACATCCAGAATTTAGGTAGAGAGCTGAGAAACACCTTGAAGGATGTGACGTAAGTGTTTCATTGAGAAAAACCTGGCGTATTTGTTTCTAAATGATGTTCTTATCTAGTTCCTTGTGTTCTCAGATCTCTGCTGAAAAAGGAGAGCTGTAAATGTGGTAACTATTAGTTCATCTACATCAAGAATCTTGCCTTTTTCATTTTTGTGTGAAATTCCACTCTTTCCCTAGTCTGGAAGGTTCAATTCAGCAGGACTTACTTTGTCCTTCAAGACATAACCCATGTTTCTGTTTTCCTTTAGTGCAAGCTTTGCTCCTGCCTGTTTGTCCCACGAGATCATCACACGCAAGTAAGTGCTTGTGCAGATCCTGCAGAGGTGAACAGGGGTGGGAATGACCCTGTCCTGGCAGCCTGACCCCTCTGATGTGATCTGTACTGTTTGTCTTTGCAGTCATTGGACTGACATCCAGGTGAAGGGGACATCATTGCCCCGTGCCCTGCACTGCTGGGATCGGAGCCTCCACGAGAGCAACAAGAATGGGAAGGCTCCTCTGAAAGGCTGCCCAATTCACCTGATTGACAGCTGCCCATGGCCTCACTGCAACCCCTCGTGCCCCACAATCAGGGACCAGTTCACAGGGCAGGAGATGAATGTGATCCAGTTCCTCATGCACATGGGTTTTGATGTTCAGAAGATGGCACAGCAGCAGGGCCTGGAGCCGAGTAAACTCCTGGGGATGCTCAGCAGTGGTAACTAGAAAGGTCAGAGGGGCAGAGATTAGATCAGGAGGAGAGAGACTCTCAGCCCTTCTCCCAAACTTTCTGATCTTCTCCCTAATGTTCCTGCAGGCAGATGCATGCTCATACCCATGGCACACTCACACCTGTGCACTCACATGCTCCCACACTCTTGCACGCTTATGGTGTGTCAAGAAAAAAAAAGAAAAAAAAAAAGGCAAGCAGCAATTTCTTGCTTACATTGTTTGGCTGGAACTTGTTCCCTCCCTCCAAACTCTAGGGCTGAGTTTCAGCTGGTCACATCCTCTTCCTGTGCTACACAAGGCAATCAGAAACAGGGAGTAGCAAAGCCATAAATAGCAGCGATGAGAACCTTCCCCAGATCTGGGACATCTTCCCTTGCCATCAGTTTTACATCATAGACTTGTTACAAGTGGTGAAAAAAGCAAGCACTGGATTTCTTCTGTCCAACTAGGAGCGAAGGAGTGATTGCATTACTTCCTGGAGGTTAGCATCTCATGCTGAATCACAGTACACAGACCCAGGACACGTGCTAGGGATGGACACTCTTGTACTCAATTTATTCATATTATTTTATAAAATGACTTTTTAATTACTTTTTTAAACTAAGCAAGAAATATAAAGGATATTGTAACATATTTTTTTTTAAATAATGGAGAAACCTCTTGCTACTTTGGCAACATGGACATATTTATTTTAATATGTAAAACGCTATTTATAAGGGCTGACCAGAGAACCATACCTATATCTTTGTAAAGTTGTATATGCTGCTCATTTGGATGGGTTATCCTGATGGTCACTTGTGCCTGGGAGAGGGCTAAGGGTGGTGTTAAAGTTTTGTATTAATTAGATTTCTGTGTTCCCCTTGCAGTGTGCCTTTGTTTCTTGATGTTTCATTGTTTCTCTGATGAAGAGGTTGTAATATAAGGTTTAGTACAGAGACTTTCACCCAGCACCTGATGTTTGCAGACTTTCACTATGATTCCCCAGGTAGTCCAGGGCATTGCACTGTAAGGTGGAGGGAGATCTGGCTTTGCTGCAAAGGCCTCTCTCCCAGTGAGGGAAATGTTTGATCCGAGCATCAGAAGCATTTGGAGCAGAAAGGGCAGAGAACACAAGACAAGCACCAACATATTTCTCTTCTAACAATTTGGGAACACACCCACCACAGCAGGGAGAATCCCCTTTGATGGCAGCGGGAGGAGAACAAGGGAGGGATGCAGAATGCAGGGCTGAGGCTGGAGAGGAGCCGTTCCTGGGCTGGGAGCAGCGGGGGCTGCAGCAGAGCCTCAGCCTGCAGGGCAGGGCGAGGGAGCCCTGCCCCAGCAGCAGCTGCACGGCTGCTGCACGGCTGCTGCATGGCTGCTGCCTCACCTGTGTGTGCCTGCACGGCTGCTGCACGGCTGCTGCACGGCTGCTGCACGGCTGCTGCCTCACCTGTGTGTGCCTGCACGGCTGCTGCATGGCTGCTGCATGGCTGCTGCCTCACCTGTGTGTGCCTGCACGACTGCTGCGCGGCTGCTGCCTCACCTGTGTGTGCCTGCACGGCTGCTGCACGGCTGCTGCACGGCTGCTGCATGGCTGCTGCATGGCTGCTGCCTCACCTGTGTGTGCCTGCACTGCTGCACAGCCTCACCTGTGTGTGCCTGCACTGCTGCACAGCCTCACCTGTGTGTGCCTGCATGGCTGCTGCATGGCTGCTGCATGGCTGCTGCCTCACCTGTGTGTGCCTGCACTGCTGTGCACGGCTCCTGCCTCACCTGTGTGTGCCTGCACTGCTGCACAGCCTCACCTGTGTGTGCCTGCACTGCTGTGCACGGCTCCTGCCTCACCTGTGTGTGATCTCTTGTTTTGGCTAAGCAAACCCAAAAAATGAACCAAACTGTAGCCTTTTGGTTCCTCTTCTTGGAGCTCAGGAAAAGTCTGGCAGGACCACACACAGATCACCACAATCAGCTGTCCTGCTGTGCATGATGGGATTAACACAGACTGAAGATAAAGAAAAACTAAAGAGAAAAGGGTTGGTGCTCCCAGTGAAACTGAAAAGCAGGAAAACATCAGTGGAGTTTGCCTGTGATCAGTTTGGAGATTACTGATATCTTTTATGTTTTAATGACTTGGGTATAAAAGTAGAATTGTCCTGATTACGCCTTTCATCTGTTTTCTGCTGTGCAGAAGCCAGTGACAAAAGGGCAAGACTGGAAGTCTTCAGTGCCATGTGTTTGTGATCTTTTGACTGGATCAGGCTCTTTATTTCTGAGGGGACGGTGGCTGTGCTCTGTGAGCTGTGCTGCCCCACAGTGTGAGTTCTGATTTCGGGGACCTTTGCCCTCTGCCAGCACCACCTGGTGCTGGGGGCTCTCCAGAGGGGCTCCACTTCCCATGGGAAGCAGAAGCTGAGCAGCTCTGCCTTGAGCCCCGGTGTCACAGCCCCGGTGTCACTGACTGTCCCCAGGTGGGCCATGGAGTGTCCCTGTCCCCGGCAGAGGGAGGGGATGCACCTGAAAGTGCCACAGGGCAGAAAGCGACCCCCTGCCAAAGAGACCCTGAAAACAGCTAGAGGTGAAGGATTAATAGACAGTCAAGTAGGGCAAGATTTCGGTATGAGAACGTCTTCACCTGAAGTGCCTCAGCCCTCCTGCTGCATTTCCTGGCTTTTGTGATGTTAATTGTGCAGCTTCCACCCCAAATGAATGCAGGCTTTTGTACTTTTAGCACCAGAGGCCTCTCAAAGGAAAATGGAAGGGACTTGAGATGAATGAAAGAGATACCGAGGTTACAAGATGGTGACAAAGCTGAAGGTAGGCACATTTTATCATTACAGCCAAAACAATGTACTGTTCTCATGTGAGCCATTCCAGCAGGGAAGTTTTGCTGCTTCCATACTGGGATGAGTACTGCAGGTGAGGAGTCAGCAATGCTGCTCTGGGGTAAGGGAGGAATTTTTCTGCTATGTTGTGGTGAAAACATTCACGCATTCCCATTCTGAAATTACATCAGAAATTTTGTTTGGGGCTTTTAGAGATATAATTAAGAGACTTCTGGGTAGAGATGAAGTCTGGGAGGCACTGTATACCAGGAATGGCTCACTGTGAAAGCTTTGATCTCACAGGAGGGAGAGTTTTACACTATTTATTAAAATCTGTGTTCCAAAACAGTGCTAAGAATATCAAAGCAAAATTTTTTTAAACAGTTGTATTCAGTTACTGCATTCAGAGATACAAGAAAAACTGATTCCCCCATAAATAAAAGAGAGACAGGGAAGGGTTTAAGGAAACGTTGAGGACGGGTGCTTGTCAACCTTCACAGCCACAAGCTGTCACACAAAGCACAGCAGGTAAATGTATCGCTGCTCCAGATCAACTGCAGCAAAGTGAGTCAGCTTTTTTTCAGCCTCTGGCCTAAATCCCTTCTTTTATAGGGCTTGAGCTGCCTCTGGGCTTGTGCCCCCACTCAGGGGCTCTTGGGTCTGCAGGACTGAGCTCTCGTGGATCACAGCCCCCTGCCACAGGCAGGGAGAGCAGCAGCATTCCAGTGACCCCAGAGCTCCTACAAGAACAGCACAAGGATAATCAAGAGCCTTTGATGGAGCTCGCAGCTTCAGTGTTAAATAACACCCGCTCCCAACAGCTGAGTGGGGGCAGGACTCATTCCAGAACTATTAATAAAGCCCCTATTTATACTCCAGGTTCCTGTGAACGGTGCAGCAGAAAGCTACAGCTGCGGAGCTAAAATGGAATAAATGTCAGGCTCCGGGGGAAAGCACCATCCTGTGGGAAAGGAGGCAGCCGGGGGACAGCCCTGGGGCAGCTCTCGGAGCTGAGGGAGCGGAGGGCGAGCGGCGGCGCCCGGAGCGTGCAGGCAGTGGGCAGAGCCGGGCTCCGCTCCCTGCAGCCGCAGGTCTGTGCAGAGCTGCCAGAGATGCAGCGTCAGAGGCGGCTCCCGCTGCGGCCAGAGGCTCCGGCGGGGCTGCGGCCGAGCCGGCACCAGGTGTGACTGAGGCAGGAAGGACCTTTGGGGAGGCTCGGAGCGCCTTGTCCGCTGGACCGGCAGGATGATGGAGAGCACGGGAGGGCCGTATCTGAACACGGCCGCCGTGACCTCCCCGGTGGGAATAGCCCGGCTGCTGCAGATGACCTTCGGCTGCGCCACCTTCAGCCTGGTCGCCCACCAAGGGGGGTTCAGTGCCGCCTACGGCACCTTCTGCATGTTCGTCTGGACCTTCTGCTTCGCCGTCACCGTGTTCATCATCGCCTGCGAGTTCACACGCCTGCACAGCTGCCTGAGCCTCTCCTGGGGAAACTTCACGGCGGCTTTTGCTATGCTGGCCACGCTCATGTCGGTGACAGCGGCGGTGATCTACCCGCTCTACTTCGTGCAGGTGGGCTGTTACCCCATCGGCTGCCAGGTCCGGGATTTCCGCATCGCCGCCAGCGTCTTTGCGGGCCTGCTGTTCGTCACCTACGCCTCTGAGGTGTTCCTAACCAGGGCCAAGCCGGGACAGGTCACCAGCTACATGGCCACCGTCTCTGGCCTCTTGAAAATCGTCCAGGCCTTCGTGGCCTGCATCATCTTTGGGGCGCTGGTGAACGACAGCCAGTACAGTAAATACGTGGCGACGCAGTGGTGTGTGGCTGTCTACAGCTTTTGCTTTGTGGTGACGGTGGTGGTGGTGGCCTTCAGTGTCACAGGTAAGACTGCCTTGCTGTGGTTCCCTTTTGAGCGTTCTGTGGTCATCTACACCTTTGGGGCAGTGCTGCTCTATGCGAGTGCTGCGGTCATCTGGCCAGTGTTCTGCTTTGACAGCAAGTACGGCTCCCCACGACGGCCCGGCCTCTGTGCCAAGGGCAAGTGCCCCTGGGACAGCCAGCTGGTGATTGCCATCTTCACCTATGTCAACCTGCTGCTCTATGTCCTGGACCTGGCGTACTCCCAGCGCATCCGCTTTGTCTCACACATCTGAACCGTGGCTCGGCCTCCGTGGAGGCCCCTCCGTGTGCCAACCCCTGCAGGTGCAGAGGGACAGGGCAGAGAGGCGCTGGGCAGGCATGCACACACCACCATCGGCCAAACTTCAAGTGAGGACTGACTACACGAAGGAATGAATGACCTGGAGCAGGTGGGCTGCAGCTGGCACCGCGCAGCCCAACTCCCCCATGGTTCTGCCTCACCTGCCCAGGCCAGCACCAAGGAATGGCACAGCTCCACGGGCATCTGCAGACAGCAGGAGTGCTTGTAGCCACAGCAGTGGGGCTGGAGGCTATCGGGTTACTGAGCCAAACGTTAGGAAAGACATACAGGATTTTGAAACTGTTAACCAGCGCCTAACAGTAACCAAGTGACTGCTTGGGAAGTGGAAAAGTTAAAAGCTGCATGAAGGAACACCAGTTCAGTAGGTGAAAGTCAATCCCTCGGAGTTTGGGTTAGTTTGGACTGTGTTGGGAGATGTGGAATGCCTGCAAGTGTGGGCAGTTCCAGCCTGGGTGTTTCTGAGAAGAACATCATAGCCAAAACAGTATTTTGAAGGTTGCCAGTCATTTCCTTTCCTCTGCTTTGCTGTCTAGCACAGAAAAGGAATATCCTCAAGTGCACACCTTGGAGGAGGCCTATTTAATGTAATACTCCTATTTAGCAAACACTGAGTCACTACAGAAATGAAAATTTGTAAGGTCAGGGCTCTACTGCTGAGGATCAGGGTGCAGAGCAGAGCCATCCTGCAAAGTGGCCGAGTGTGAACTGTCATCCTCATCCTCGCTTGAGCAGCGCAGAAAATACCTTGGCACATGCTCTTGTCTTGATCCATGGGCCACCATTTCTTTACCCTGGGGTCAAGGGGTTTTTCTGGAGGCTTGAAGATAAATTCTGGGGCATGGCAAAGGGGAGACAGGGAGTGTTGATCTCATGGTGCTGCAGAAGGGACCCAGTTGGGTGGGAGGGGGCACGGGCAGGACGGGACAGGGCAGAACTTGCGCATGGTACCCGGAGGAGCTCGGGATTCCTGAGCACTCTGCTTCACTGGGGAGCCCAACTTCCCAGCCCCACCCCTGACAAAACACCCTCTTTAAAGTTCCACACTTCTCAGCTCAGATTTCAGGCCCCAAGGAATCCTCATTTGTCGCCGGGAGAAGCCAGAGTGTCCAAGTGCTTGTGCAGCACGTGCAGACTTGAGCGCTTTGATTAAAATCTCCAGTAGCTCCCTGTCAGAAGCAAGATTTATTTTTTAACCAAAACAAAATAAAGCTGAATGGCAGATGTATGCTTACATCTCCTGAGATCTGTGTGCTGTCATCCTGCTCTCCACACTCATTGCAGTAGACACTTTCTGCATGAAGGCAGAGCTCACTTTATTCTGGTGTACAAAGCCTGAACACAGAACCAAAAATACAACAGACACAACACAGCAAGACCTCTGAGGGGATTCTCTGCAGCAGAATGACTCAGGAATAAGGAAGCAGACTTACTTTTCATCAGTGCTTTGTGTGGGGTTTGAAAAGCAAAGGGAAAACTTGTTGGGACAGGCGATGTTGAATAATTCTGAGCAAGGACCAGGCCTTAGCAGTGGGGAGCATCAGCCAGGACATGGGACAAGAATTGGGATCCAGCACAGAGGAACAGCCTGCCAAGGGGCTTTTCTCTTCTGTGAGTCCCAGTTCCTGAAGGGCAGGAAATCTGGAAGATGTAGTCCAAGAGGAGGCTGTCAGGGCAAGACCCACGGATATCTGCCATAGATATAAACCAGGAGCTTTATTTCTTGCCACCCAAACAAATTATGGGTTGTACAAGAACAAAAGGCTGACTTGGGAAAGGAAATCCCCTTGTGTTGGAGGAGTTAATTTACAGGAGCCACTGTGTACAAAGGGACCTTGAGCGTTTATGATGTATTCCTGTTAAACCCATCAATATGGACAAATTAAGTCATGTAATACTTGAAAATTACTTTTTTTTTTGGTTGTTGTTATTTCAGATTACTAAAAACCAAACAGGTGCCTGTGAAGGACCACAGCTTTTGTTATAAAACCCAGCCCAGTGGGGCCAGGGACGTTGCTTGAGGAAAGCCCCGTCCTGGTGTGGCTCAGGGGGCCGGGGCCAGCGGAGGCAAGAGCCCAGGCAGGGGGTGCCCATCCCCAGGATGGCACCACCGGCGCTCAGGCAGCAGCAGCAGCTCCTTGGCTGGCAGCTGTGGCTGAGCCAGGCACTCCTGGGTTCCTGCAGGAGCAAGAGCAGAAGCGTGGTAAAACTGACAATGCCATGGGTTGATGCAACTTACACCCAGCCAGGGTCAAAGGGCCAGAGAGGAACTGGTGCTTGGGAAACAATAAGGGCAAAATGGAGTGTCTTCACAATAAGGGGAAAGAGAATTTAACATGGAAACCATGATCCCACTGACTGGAGGAGTGGATACACAAGTCATTGCCAAGAACAGTGTGTTCAGATTTAGCTTTCTCATCTGCCAGCCAAAGACTGAGTAAAAAATGTGAACATGGTCAAAATGGCAAAAAAAGATTGTGTGGACAACAATCCTCTCTTTTAGGAGGAAAAAAAAAAAAAAAAAAAAAATCAAAACCTCATGCTTCAGTGGTTAAAACATTCCCCAACCATTGGAAACTATGAGATTGCCCAATCCAGAACAGAGAACATCTGATATCTACTCATCAGGATTTACCAACCAGCTCTGTCATGATTCAGTTCTCCAGACCTCCTTCATTTCCAGAGAGCATCTCTCCCCTTAATTAACAGATGATGATCAAGTAGCTCCCCATGAACCTGGTTGCTCCAGCCATCAACCATTCCCAACCTCTTTTGGTAAACTAATGTTAGGATTTATGTGTGTTCATTAATTATGGACTTGTGGCTGCAGCCAATCTAGACAGCACCCAGAGGATTCCAGCATGGGTAGGTTAAAGTCGGAATTGTTAATGGGTTTGGACTGGGTTTTTCCCTTCTTTTTTGGAAGCCCAGGGTTCAGTACTCACAAAAGATCAGCGTTTAGGAACATTTATCAGCAGAAAAAAACACTGAGCTTTATTTCTGTCAATGAAGAAGTAAAAAAAAAAAAAAAAACCAACAAAAAAACCAAAGACAAAAACTAGCGAGGTAAGATGATAGTTAGGAAAAAAATCACTGCTGGCTGCTTGGGTTTTACAGGAACACTTCACTCCGGTCCGGGCTCTGCACAGCTCAGCCCGGCCCGGCCCGGTCTGGGGGGCTCGAGGGGGCTCGCGGGGAGCACGGCCCGGCCCGGTCCGGTCCGGGGGCTCTGGCGGGAGCAGGGCGCCGCCCGGCGGCAGGGCCGGCGCGGGGCGGCGCCGCGGGCGGTGAATGATGCAACACCGGGCGCCGGTTGCACCAATCGCTGGCGAGCGCCGCGCCGCTGGCCCCGCCCCCGCCCGCTGAGTGGCGGAACGCTGGCGCTGCCCCGCCCCCCTGCCCGCCGATTGGCTGCGCGCCCCCGTCCCGCCGCGCGGCCTCGCCTCCGTGCGCGCGCGGCCACGTGTACGGCGGCGGGGCCGGGCCGGGCCGGGGGCAGCGGGATGAGCGTGGGCTTCATCGGCGCGGGGCAGCTCGCCTTCGCCCTGGCCCGCGGCTTCACCGCGGCAGGTGCGCGCGGGGCAGCTCGGCCTGGCTCCGTGGGGGCGGGCGGGCTCGGGGCGGGCGTGCCGGGCCCTCGGACTGACACGCGGGGTCGTTCGCAGGGGTCCTGGCTGCGCACAAGATCACGGCGAGCTCCCCGGACACTGACCTGCCCACCGTGAGCGGGCTGCGGGTGAGTGCGGCCGGGTAGCGGGCACCGGGCGGCGGCGCTCCCCTCCCGGCCATCCCGGGCCTGAGCGGTCCCGTTTCTCCCCGAACCGGTGCAGAAAATAGGAGTGAACTTCACGGTGAGCAACAAGGACACGGTGAAGAGCAGCGATGTCCTCTTCCTGGCCGTAAAGCCACCCATCATCCCCTTCATCCTGGAGGAGGTGGGCCCCGACATCGAGCCCCGGCACATCGTGGTGTCCTGCGCGGCCGGAGTCACCATCAGCTCCATCGAGAAGGTGAGCGGGGACCGGGCACGGCCAGCCGGGCTGGCTCCGCTCCTCTGACCCCGAGGAGCCCATGCCACGCACTTGTGCTACTCAGGACTAAACTCACACAGCAGCAGCCAACTTGGTTTTGGTCACCTTTGCCCGTGTTCATCGGCAAATGCTGTTAGAGGCTTCATCCAGCTCTTCTCTCACATGAGGTGCTGTCCAGTCATGTTTATTTTAACAGCAGTGGGTCATCTCCCCTGAATTTCTGCAGATTTTATGCTAGGTGTCTGCAGGAGCTGTTTTGGAGATCTGTGGGTTGATGTGGGATTGAGGCCTTTGGGATACTGTTTCCAACCCGGCTTTGCCCAGCTCCTGCTTTGCTGGTACTGAGCAAGGCTTCACATTCACGGATGGGCTGCTGTGGCTCAAAGCAGGACATTTGAGATACACAGGTCTCTCTTTTCCTTCTGCTTGTATTGTTCTTGCCCCTGGGGGGGTCCTTTCCTGAACAACCCATTGATGAAACATATGCACTAAAGCTCATTTTTCTCCCTTCTTTCTTTTTTTCTTACTTTCTATCTTCCATGATTTTCTGCCCTAAGAAACTCTCTACCTTCTGCCCCACACCAAAAGTGATCAGGTGCATGACCAACACCCCTGTGATAGTCCGAGAAGGTGCTACAGTCTATGCCACTGGCACTCATGCGGATGTGGAAGATGGGAAGCTTTTGGAGCAGCTGATGGCCAGCGTGGGCTTCTGCACCGAGGTGGAAGAGGACCTCATCGATGCTGTAACGGGGCTCAGTGGCAGTGGCCCTGCGTATGTATGTGCTGCTGTTTCCTCAGCTAGTGCCATCTTAGGGAGAGCAGTTGGCTTTGCCTGCCATAAAGTCTGTGTAACTTCAGCTTGTATTTTTTTTTTCCCTATCACCCATATTTGCAGTGGAACGTGTATTCCAGGTGTCCAGTTGGGACAGCAGGAAAATTTTTTAAGAGTCAGATGAGTCTGAAGTCCATAGCCAGTGTGCAGTGCCTGCATGTCCATGTTGCAAAGCTTGGGCCCGTAGTTTACATGATCAGAAGCTGAATTTCTCCCATTCCCCCCACTCCTGAGCTGGAAGTGGTGGGAGGGAAGCCTGGCATGGCATCCATGAAGGAAAGGGGGAGGCTTTTGTCAAGTCTGTGAGTGACAGGAGTCACAGAACAGTCCTGAAGCCCTGGATTCTCTCTTCCCTAAGCCTTACCAGTCCTTCAGTGCCCTTCTTTCCCTCTGTTCTCAGGCATTCACTGCCCTGGATGCTCTTGCAGACGGAGGAGTGAAGATGGGCCTTCCCCGCAGGCTGGCGGTTCGGCTGGGAGCACAGGCTCTGCTGGTCAGTATTACCTACTGCACAACACATCTGAGCCTGCGCCTGCTCCTTGCAGGGGAATCTGCACCTCACAGTTTGAGATGGTCGTGGTGCTCTGGCAGAATCTGCTTTAAGGAATGTGTTTGGTTGGAATGCACACAGTTCCTGGTGAGGGGCTGTAGGAAGTGTCTGCAGCAATCTGCTGGTGAGGTGGGAGCTGGGGCCTGGGAAACTCTGCTGCTTTGAGGCCTCATCAGCTCTGAAAAGTGTTTTGGCAGCCTGCAGGATCCCAGGTGTGCCTGTTGTGAGTGTTGGTGCTGTTCTTGCAGTGGAGAACAGGAGGGTATGACAGTGGTTCCTCAGTCAGGCTCTGGCAGGTGTTTCCCTTGCTACAGGGAGCTGCCAAGATGCTGTTAGAATCTGAGCAGCATCCGGGTCAGCTGAAGGACAACGTCTGCTCGCCCGGGGGAGCCACCATCCACGCCCTGCACTTCCTGGAGAGTGGTGGCTTTCGCTCTCTCCTCATCAACGCTGTGGAGGCTTCCTGCATCCGGACAAGGTGGGCAACTAGGAGCTGAAGAGCTTGCAAGACTTGCCCCCCCACCCTCCCCATCTTATGTTTTCTATGTCTTCCTCTCCCACTACCCCACTGTAGGGAGCTGCAGCATTTGGCAGACCAGGAGAAGATTTCCCCGGCAGCCATAAAGAAAACATTGTTGGACAAGGTGAAGCTGGAGTCTCCTTCTCTGTCTGTGGCATCTGCTAGCAAAGTCAGTCTGTTCACCAGCAAGACCAAGAAGAACTGACCAGACTCTTGCGTTCTGGCAGTGCTGAATGTCAGTGTCCTGGCTACAGCCAGGACAGGGTTAATCTTTGCAGTAGCCAGGAATGGCACGGCCAGGACCCTGGTTATTCTATACAAAGGGGAGGGGATGGTTTGCAGCAGGGGAGAGGTGCTGAAGAGGGGTGGGGAAAAGGGGTCCCGTGGCTGGGTGCATCAAGTGAGCAGTGGGAGCAGCATCATGTTACACGTGGTGAGCAATCATGTGGGAATCCTTCACCTCTCTTCTACACTCTTCTTAATATTGTTGCTGTTATTATTTGTTTTCTTATCTCATTACTGCTTCCAGTAAATTGTTCTTGTAGCAAACCATGTTCTCTACCTTTTGTGCCTCCAGTTCTCCTCTCCAGCCCACCACAGAGGGAGAGGGACAAGAGGGCAGTGAGTGGGCAGCATGTGGTTTTGAGTATTTCAGTGGGAACGCTAATACAGGGAATACCATTCCTAAGCCACAACTGTTAGTGTTCTCTGTGTTATTCCTCTTTTGTCCATGGAAAAACGCTCAGTCAGCATGCTGGTGTCCCCTGTAGCAGGCTTGTGGCTTGCAGCAGCTGTAGCAGAGGGTGATGCAAAATGCAAGGGAGTGTTGTGGAAAGAGTTCCCACTTGGCTGCAAAAGTGGGATGCGGAATGAATGGATGCCTGAGCTTGAACCCCTCTGCAGGGAGATGTTGGGGATGCCCCTGGATCCTCCCAGAGAGACAGAGCTACAGATGAACTTCCTAGATGGTTATAGACCCGTAACTGTAACCACAGCAGATGGGAACCCACCAGGGGCTACCGGAGCCCTGCAAGGCTGGCGCTCACATCCCCTGCGCACAGAGCAGAGAGCGGCGCTGCTGCTGCTGGATCCGCGCCCAAGGCTCTGCTGCTCCTCGGGGCACGGCTTCTCCTTGACCCCTGTCCTAACCCTCCTGTCCCCTCTCTTAACCCCACTTTCACTGCTGCACCTTCTGCTTCCCCTCGCCCTGCTCTGCTACGCTCATCTTGTCCCGCCTGCTTTGCCTGTGGCAAGGCAGCAAACGGTGCGAACCAGTGTCGGTGTCATGGGCCTGAATTCCTAGCAAAAGGGCTGGGAACACACCTGGAGCGAGAGCCCCGGCCCGAGGGACTGCGCGCTGTGAAACGCGCGGTGTGCCCCGGGAACACCGGCGGGCGGCCGCGGCTGCTGCCAGAGACGGCGGGAGCTGATCCGCGGCCGACCCCGTACTTCGGTGGAGCGGCAGCGCTCGCCGGGGGCCGGGCCGGGCCGGGCAGGGCCGTGCCGGGCGTTCCCCGGTGCCCCGGAGCGGAGCGCGGCCCCCTTAAGGCCCGGGGCGGTTGCGCCGGGCGCTTCATGAATGGAGCCACGTGACCCAAATATCACGTGACGACTCCGTGAGCGGCGGCAGCGGCGGCGGCGGCGGCGGCTCGTGAGTCCCGGTCCCTCCCAGCGCGGCCTCCCCGCCCCGCCCGGCCCGGCCCGGCCCGGCGGCCCCGGCAGGAGGTGAGCGCCACCGGCAGCGAGGGCGGGCGCGGCCCTGGCACCGGCCGGGGCGGGGCGGGCCGGTCCCCGGGGGCGGGCCGGGGCGGGGCGGGCACGGCGGGCCCCGGGATGGTGGCCGGGGCCGCCGCGGGGTCGGCAGGTGCCTGACGGGGCCGCCATCGCTGATTCACGGCGGGGCGTTGGGGTCGCGCCCGCCCGGCCCCCGCCCCGCCCCGCCCGGCCCCGCTCGGCGGGCGAGCAACAGGTGCGCGGGGCCCGGGGCCTGCCCCGCCCCGCCCGCCGCTCCCGGCTCCACCCCGGGCAGCGCGGGCACCCGGCCCCTCCCTCCCGCGTCTGCCGAGCGCCCCGATCGTGTTGCAGCCCGGCTGCCCTCGGGCCGAGCCCGCCCCGCTCAACCCCGCCGCACCTCGGGACGCTCCGGCTCCGCCGGTACGGCCGCGACCCGGCCCCGGCGGGGCCTCCTGGTTCCTCGTCCCTCCGGCCGCCCCCCGCCGCGGTCTGTCATTCTTCTCCCGAGGACGGGAGGGCCGGGAGGCTGAGGAGCCATCGGGGCGCTCGCCCGGTGCCCAGAGCAGAGGCAGGCACAGCCCCGCTGCCCGCAGTCGGTACCGTGCCCTCGGGCTGCTCGGTGGCTGCAGCCGTGCGGGCGGAGGTGCCGCTCCGCAGGGGCTGCCCGGTGCTGGGCGCTGCGGGGTCCCCGAGCGGAGCGGGCTCCCCCGGGACTGCGGTGTCTGACCCGCACCGAGGGGCCGCGTCCGCCTGTGCCGGGCACGGCTCCGGCTGTCCGGGGTGTGTGAGCTCTGCGGTCGGGGGAGGGCACTGCCAAGGGCGGGAGGGAGTCTCTCGGAGCCGGCCCTTTGCTTTAGCAGTGTGAGCAGAGCTAAAACCACCTGGGTGGGCAGATTCCTTGAGGAAAAAATTGCTGTGAAGTGCTCAGGGTTGGATGACATCATCGGGGACCCCAGGGTGGGGAACACAGGCGGCACTGTCTTGGCTACACAGGTAATTTGGGGAGTCATTGGATGAGACTGTGTGAGGCAAGTTGCCAGCAAGCAAATAAACAGAGTATGAAATCCACGCTGGGAGAGAGTGTTCCTGTGCGGTGTGCCCGTCACTGCTGACAGACCACACTCCTGTGCCTGCTGGAGCCCTGGGGAGCACAGCCCTTGCTCTGCCCGCTGGAGCAGGGACATCACCGTGTTTACACGGGGCTCGGGGCACGTTCTGCACCAGGAGCCTGGAGAAGGGCCCATGCTGGATCATGCGTGCTGCTGTCAGCTCCCGTGTGCTGCTGCTGAGCTGAGGGGAGAATTGGCTGTGCTTGTGCTGAGTTCAGGCCTTTTGAGCTCTGGGGAAATGTGTCGAGGCTGCAGTTTCTTCATTGCAGCCACAGTGTTTGGCACTTTTCAGTGTGATCTTTCTTCAGGAAGCTATCAAAAGCTGATCCATCAGCAGTCTGGAGAGTAAGGCGAAGTTTGGTCTCTGCTATGTCACCCATTCTCTGGGTGTCCTCTATGTGAGCTGCCAAACAGCCCAGTTAAAACGGGACCCAGGAAACTCTTTGGGTTGTTCTTTCCATTCTACTGACTGCTGCTCCTTGGAGAGGTGGGATCACCAGGTTTTTGGGGACACTCCTGTGGCAGGTCTGATGGCTGTTGAGAGAGGCTCCTGCCTGGGAGGTGTTGTGTTAGAGTGTGCAGAGGCAGGATTGAATGAGCAGCTGCCTCTGCTGTGTGCAGCTCTGCCAGCAGTTCCCCAGCCTGCTCAGGAGCATCTTCCCAGTGCCCTGCCTGATGCAGCATGCGTGTGCCCTGTTTGTTTCATTTTGGGTCTGCTGTAATGAAGGCAGCCTGTGTGCTTGCCAAGCAGCTGTAAATTCTTTAGTGCCACAGGGCAGGCAAATTCCTGTGTCCCACTGCCCAGACCTGCCCTATGACTCCTTCCACTTGCAGGAGGATGGGGCACAGAAGTGCTGCAGGGGCAGGCACATTGGTCTCTCCAGCTAGTCCCTTTCCTCTCCCTTTTCCCAGCAGACATGTTGTTTACCAGGTAGGAACAGAAGAAATAAACAGCAGTCTGGGAAGGAGGGAAGAATTGACTTTGTGCAGCAGTTGCTTGCATGCTGCCTGTCCTGCCTCACTGCAGCTGCCTTCCTTGGGCAGCAGATGACCCTGGCTATGCCAGTGTGGTTGGGGGCAGCAGACATCTTGTTGGAAGGAGCATTGTCCTCTAGGTATATATAAATAGCCTGGCTCCTGGCAGGCTGCAGGCTTCAGGAATATCTCTGCTGGTGTCCTGGGGACTGCTGGTCCTGTTCACCTCCCGTAGGTCGTAGATGCACTGGAGGGAGCCTGTGCCACAGCTGCTGAAGAGCACTAAGCCCTGTTTGCTGATGCGTGCATTTGCTTCTGGTCTGTAACTGGACATGAGTCCTGCTGGGAGAAAGGCAGGGGCAAACAAAGTTGTTGTTTAACACCTGCAAGATGAAAGGGGCAGAGGCACCTGGAGGCTGCACAGGAATGCTGGCCAGGGCTGCGTGGGTGCAGTCTGGGCTGAGAGGGGAGTGCAGTTTGGGCTGTTTGAGGCACAGCCATGTCTGTCAGGGAGTATCTGTGTGGATCAATTCCTTGGGCAGCGCAGTAGCAGTCTGAAAACCCTGAGGGGAGGAGGTCCGTGGGGAAGGAAGCAGGAGCCTGGGAATAAGTCTGTGTAAAGCAGGCCTGGAAATTGCTCTTAAGCAATTCTGAAATCTTGTTTTCTGTGGCAGGGAAGGAGTCTGCTCTGCTCTGGTTTTCAGCACCTTAAATCTTTGTTTTCTTGTGAGCACACCTTGGCTCTTAAGATAAGGAGGAAGAAGGTGTTTCTGGGCTCTGGCATGCCAGGGATTGACAGTACCTTCTCACAGAAAAGACCTACAACTGGGGTCAGTTTTGCATGACTGGGAGAGGTGAAGGCTGCTGAGGCATCAGCCCAAATTTGTGATGGAATTCCAGCGTACCCTTGCTCAGGGTTATGTCTTACTGAGCAATCCTTGGCAGCATCTGGAGTCTGGTAGGAGTGGGGAGCTCCTGAGTGTGCTTGAGCACCTGTTGGAAGGGCGTGTTGAGGTGAGCTGCCCTGCTTGGCAGTGACAAGGACGAGGCCGGGAGCGAGCGGTGCAGAGTGCCAGCCTGCTGAGTCAGCATGACTGGCCTGGAGCAGCCATGCTCTGGACCCTGCCTGCTGCTTGCAAGGCTATTTTTAAAATGTGACTTCCATGTGTTCTGACTCCTCCTAGCTCTTTAATTTCCCCCACCATAAACAAAAGCAGCATTGCCACAGAGTCTCCATGGGAGCAGAGGTGTGTAAGGGCAGCAGGTTCTGCTTAGGGACACTCTGCTCATTGTGAGTCCAGCCCAGCTGGCTGCTTGTTGATCGTCTGCCATGGCAGGGGCCAGGATGTGGAGCACCTCGGGGCGCTGCTGCTGGACCCTGCCAGAGGAATGCCGTGGGCTCTGCTGTGTCCCAGGTGCTAATTTGACCTTCTTTCCCCTTGCAGAACCCAGCTGCCAAGGCTGTCGTGTTATGACGACCCCCAACAAAGGAAACAAGGCCTTGAAGGTAACGTGGCGGGGGAGGAACGGGCGCGGGGATGGGCGCGGGCATCACCTCAGGCTTCACAAGTGTGTGCTGCCTCTGCCCCAGGTGAAAAGGGAGCCAGGCGAGAATGGGACCAGCTTGACAGACGAGGAGCTGGTGACCATGTCTGTGCGAGAGCTGAACCAGCACCTGCGGGGCCTGTCCAAGGAGGAGATCATCCAGCTGAAGCAGCGCCGGCGCACGCTGAAGAACCGGGGCTACGCGGCCAGCTGCAGGGTGAAGCGCGTCACCCAGAAGGAGGAACTGGAGAAGCAGAAGGCAGAGCTGCAGCAAGAAGTGGAGAAGCTGGCCTCAGAGAACGCCAGCATGAAAATGGAACTTGATGCTCTCCGCTCCAAATACGAGGCCCTCCAGAACTTCGCCAGAACCGTGGCCCGGAGCCCCGTGACCCCTGCACGGGGGCCTCTCGCCTCCAGTATGGGGCCCCTCGTCCCTGGCAAGGTGGCTACCACCAGTGTCATCACAATAGTGAAATCCAAAACGGACGCCCGGTCTTAGTGAAGCGAGCGTTGCCTGAGCTTGTCTGTGCAGGGCAGTTAGGCACAAAACCAGCCTGGAATCCCCAAAGCACAAGCCCTCGCCACATGGGTCCGGGTTCCTTTGACTTGGCCCAGGACTGGCCTGCTGATCGCTCCAGTTTATTTTGTTGTGTCCAGATTGGTATGAGCAGTGGTGATGCATCCCTTGTCCTGTGCAGACAGAGCTTCCCACCCAGCAGTCTGTAGCCCTCGGGTGCCCTGGGGACAGGCTGTGAGATTTTGGTTTTCTACCCAAAGAAAATCTGTGCAGCGTGGCTGAGAGAAGGGTGGAGGAGTGGCCCGAGGAAAGCTTTCTTCCTGGGGGCTGGGAACCCTAATTTTCGGTCACTTCCAAAGGCTTTATTTCATGACTCTTCCAGGTGGTGCATCTCAGCGCCTGAACCTGCTGCTTTTGTCTCCTTTGGTACCTGTAGTTACAGTTGGGGTGTTCTGTGTCCTAGGTTTTATTCCTTTCTAGGTGTGCCTCTGTGCCCTAGCCGTGGGTGTCCCTCAGGCCGTGCCGTTGGCTGTGTGAGCTGGCAGTGCTGGGGGACGGCGCTGCCGTGTCCTGAGCCCCCGCAGGGAAGGAAGGAGGGAAGGAAGGAAGGAGGCAGCAGCGGGACTGTGTGGACTGCAGGCCGGTTTTGTGCCTAATGTGTTGCACTGAACAAGACCAAAATCACTAGTTGTTCCCGTGTTTCGAGGGTATCAAGTGTCTCTAGTGTGATGGTTTACACAACCAGTTTATGTGGTTAAATAGCCCTTTATTTAAAGAGAGAAACATCGTTTTAAGAATTATTAAATTATCTAAGTTTAAAATTGGACAGAAGAGAGAGCGTATTTATAGTCAGCTTTTTTACCTGAGAAGGCGAGAATATTTGACCATATGAGTGGGAAATATTCTCAGAGACTTTGCTAGTTAAAAGTTAATAAATAAATAATTTTAAAGTTTCTCATGAACCTCCCGCAAACTGTTTGTGGCTCTGAGGTTAGTTTTTATAAAGAGTTATCAGACTTTATTTATAAAACTTAGAAAAAGACAAAAAAAGAGGCAAGTCCTGTTTGATATCTTTTTGCAATTGTACCAAAAGTGACTTATTCTTGACCTGGCTAGTTTCTGTGGTGTCCCCTGGTGTTGGGCGCTCTCTCCCCGAGCTCTCGTGCGGCGCTGTGGTGTGCTGGTGCCTTTGCCATGTGCTGTCATTTCACACTGTTGTCGTTTTCCCTAAACTCGACTGAGAGAGTGAGTTGGAATCTCTCTGAATTCTCCAGAAGGGTTCTGGTGCACAGGCGAAGGTGCTGCTGTTTTTGGAGACAGGAATGGCTGGCTGATGCAGCGGGGCCTGCCCCGAGGCGTGGGGGCAGCACAGGCAGCTCCTGCTCAGCAGCCAGTGCCAGGCTAGCTCATTATCTGGAGAGGAAAAACGCTGCACTCTTCTTGTGCAGCAAACCTGTCAGAGAAGTAACGTGAGGGAGACTCGTCCAGGCTTAGGAGAACACTGATGGGATTTAGCTCTGGAATTGGATCCTGTGGTCAGAACTTGTGTTGTGCTCACGGCTCACCTCAACAAGAGGGGTAACGTGGGGCAGGCGAGTCCTTGGTGTCTGCACATTGCTGGCCAGTGAGCTGTGGCAGGATCACTGTCCTTCCTGGGGTGGCTTCTGCACAGGGCTTCTAGGAGAGTGCTCAGACTCAAAGCTGGGATGCAGCTGAGAAGCTATTTGTGGCCAGGCTCCATTTCCACAAACACTTTGACTTCCCTCTCCCCTTCCCAAAGATTTGAGCTGATTTACTGAGTTTTAGAGAAGCAGGGCATGAGGGGGAAGCCCATGTGATCTCCTGGCTGTTGAAGATCTGAGTGGAGGGGGCAGACTGGGGAAACACGAGTGAAGCCACAGTCTGGTGGTGAGGTACAGCTGTCCTGGATAGGTTTTGGGGATGTTTCTGACTGCTGAACTGATACTGCTGTCGCCTGAGCAGAGGGGCAGGGCGGCCTGGGAACAGCTGCAGTGTGGCAGGAGAGGAGCAGGTAGCTGGTGGGGATTTCCTGCTGGAGGAGATCAGCTTTGCTCTGATTGATAGGGAGTTTAGGGAGTTGTTTGGGATGCTTTTCCAAGTAAACTTCCCAAAGGAGGAGCAGGTTAGAACATTGCCTCCACACGTCCCCCTTCTGGCCCTGGACTTCCTCTTCTCTTCTCTGAAGTGTCTGGTGTGCCACTTCCAGCCATTCACCACAGCCCACACTCTGCACAGCACTCAGCAGGCTCTGGTCTTCCAGCTGGGTGTGAGGTGGCTGGGACAAGTGAGATTTTACAGAACACAGAGACGTCCAGCTGTCCTGGGGTGTCATTGCCAACGTGTCCCTCTTAGAGTCGGGCTGAGACTGAACCAGACAGAGCCCTTGGGACACAGCTGAGTCCTGATCTGGGCCAGCGGAGCGGGCAGGGTGTGTATGGGGCTGGCCAGGGCCTGGGTTCCACAGCTGTAGCCTCTGGTGTGAGGAGAGCCCCGGAAACACAGCAGGCAAGGATGGCCAGCCCTGCAGCCGCGGAGAGCTTTGATTTGGTGGTGCTGGGTGTCAGGGAGCATGCAGCCCCTGCGGAGGCAGCCGCTGCTGTGCCTGGGCTGGCAGCAGTGCCAAGGACCAGCCGTCCTTCCTCCTGCTTCCCACGGCCCGAGGTGTGCTCAGGGAGCGCGGGAAGGGCAGGAGCAGCCGTGTCTGGAGGGTGGCTGGAGGGGGCCCCTGTGCTAAACAGGCTCCGTTTGTGGCGCTGGATGTCAGCGAGGCCGCGGTGCCCTGAGCGTGGCTTGCCCGTGCTTTGGTTTTGTTCCCAGTGCAGTGTAGGAGCAGTGATGGATGGGAAGTGTCTCCGCAGTGTCCGAGCGCTCCGGTCCGGCTCCGGGCTGCCGTGCCCTGCCCGTGCCCGTGCCGGAGCCGTCACGCCGCCTTCTCTCTCGTATATAGTGTTCTGGAGTGTGACAGTTCTTGTTCCTGAGGTGCTCGTCCGTTTGGTTTTCTGCTGTGAAGGGTGTCGTGTTCCCGTTCTCCTTTTCCTGGTGCTGTTCCGGGCCGTCGGGGAGGGGTCGGTCCTGCCCAGCCCCGCGGGAGCGTCCCCGGCCCGCCCGGGATTTGTGTATTGTGAATTGTGTGCGGTCGCTCCCGGCCCGAGCCGGGGCTGGCGGACAGGGGGTCCCGCAGGGGGCTCCGGGCTCGGTGCAGGCGGTATTTATTGCTAAGTTATTGCCGTTATTTATTCTGTACAGTGTCGGCCGCCTTTGTACTGACAATAAAGCGCTTCAACAGCCGCCGCCTGCGCGTCCTTGGGGGCCGCCAGGGGGCGCTGCGGCGGGGGGGCGCTGCCGGAAGCGGCGCGCGCGCGCTCCGGCCGGAAGGCGGAAGCGGCGGAGCCGAGCCCGGTGCGGCGGCGGCGCGGCGGGTCCGGGCCATGGCGGCGGGCGGCAGCCTGAGCCGCTCCGAGCGGAAAGCGGCGGCGCGCGCCGAGATCCTGCAGCAGGAGGAGCAGCGGGACCGCCGCAGACAGGTACGGTACGGCCCGGCCCGGCCCGCTCCACCCCGCCGCTGCGGGCCGCCGTGACCACGCGTGTGCACCGGGCAGGTGTCCCGCATCTGGAGGAAGCCGCCGGCGGAGCGGAGCCCCGAGGAGTGCCAGGTGCTGAATGAGAGCGAGGACATCGTCAGGGAGCTGGAGCGGCGTCGCAAGCGGCGCGAACGGCTGCGGCGGCGGCAGGAGGAGGTGGGCGGCGGGGAGCGGGGAAGCCGTGCCGCGGATGGCGGGGAGCGGGGAAGCCGTGCCGGGGATGGCGGGGAGCGGGGAAGCCGTGCCGCGGATGGCGGGGAGCGGCCCCGGGCGCGGAGAGGCACGGCGGAGGCCGCCGGGCTGGCTGCTGCCGAGCTCTGCGGCCGCAGCAGGTGAACAACCACCGTGCCCCGGTACCGGCAGCGCGCCTGCCCTCTGGGCACTGCCGGTGTTTGTGTCCGGTCAGCCGTGCTCCAGGCGCGTGCGGCTGTGCGGACCGGTCTCCCGAGAGGCTGGGTCAGCAGCTACCGGTCTCCAGGTTTTTTGCCGTGATCCTCCCACGAACAATGCCCACGTCCTTTTCATCTGGAAATCACTGCTGATGCTGTGTTTGTGTTGCTTTTCCTGCCTGGCCCAAGCCCATGCTCTGGGGAGATCCCTGCTCCGTGTGCTCGGCGGTGCCGGCTGACCCTGCTGGGTGTGTTTTGCAGGTGTGTGATGAGCCCGAGGAGCTGAGCAGGAAGGTGGCAGAGCTGGCGGCGGCCGTGCGCAGCGCCAGGCACCTCGTCATCTACACGGGCGCTGGGATCAGCACGGTGCGTGGGGCAGGCCCTGCAGGGCTGCTCTGGAGCCAGCACAGCACTGTGGGACGAGTCCTGCAGTTTGCAGGCTGCAGCCCAGGTCATTCCTGCTGCCCCGGAGATCCTGTGGCTGCAGGATTGCTCAGGCACAGCCTGAGCCAGAGGACACTGCTCTGACTTCACTCGAGTCTCTTCGAGGACTTGGTGTAAAACCTCACACCAGTTAGCTCAGCAATGCTATATGTGTTATCTGACATGCAGAGACAGCTGGGGATTATTGGGATTTATAAACAGCACTTTGAGAATTGTTTTGTGGCAGTAGCCTAGAGCAAAGCAGCAGTCTGGTTCTACCTCTTCTAATGTGTCACCTCCCCCTTTGTGTGAGCTCTGTCACTCCCTTCTCTGCTGAAATGGAGCGTGACTCAGGGCAGGGGGCTGGGTGCTCGTGTCACCTGCATGTTCACAGAGATGCTGAGTGTGACGGGCCAGAACAGAGTCTAGGCAAAATAATAGAAGGCTCAAGAATGGAGTTCTGTGTAGCAAAGTGGGAAGTACCAAGGATGAAAAAGAGTTCTGGAGAGATTCCATAATCATAAAACTGGAGAAAGCTGACACTGAGAGTGAAAATGAGAGCTGAAACATAGAAGAGAGAGAGAAAACAGATGAGGAGGTTTCCCTGTGTTCAGGGAACAGCTATGCTGGAAAACTCAGAGTGAATGAAAAAGCAGTGATGGCTGGACTTTGTGTTGGCCAGCTGTGTCTGGTTGTCCGGGGCTGTCCTGGGCTGGCTGTGTCTGTGCACAGGAGCTGTGCCAACCCCGCCCGGCAGCCCTGCTGTTCTCTCTGTGACAGGCGGCTTCGATCCCAGACTACAGGGGCCCCAATGGCATTTGGACACTGCTACAGAAGGGCAGGACCATCAGGTGAGGAGCCAAATTCCCAGAAAGCTGATACTGGAAGAGGTTAATGGCAATTCCAACTTTTTTTCCCCCCCTTGCTTCTTGTCAGGGCTGCAGACCTGAGTGAGGCAGAGCCCACACTCACTCATATGAGCATTGCCTGCCTGCACAAGCACAACCTGGTAAGATATTTTTACCTCACCTCACTCATGTTCCTCTGCCTAAAAATGATAAACCCAGCAGGGAATAGTCATAGAATATTGCCTGACTGCATTTTTGGCTCAAGTGGCTGCATATCCATGTAGGAAAATGTGTCCAAGCCTTCCTCAGTGAGCTGCAGGCTCTGGCTCTGGCAGTTTTCCCCGGTGCCTTTTCTTTAACATGTTGTATTTGTCCCTGGTGAGGCTGGTCTGGGGAGCTGGTCACAAATCAGCCAGCCTAGAAATGTTCATTTTAGCAGGAAGAGGTTTCCATTTAGCTTTCACAAAGGTCTGTTCACCATGCTCTTCCCCTGTGGGTCCTGCCCTGATGTACAGGCTGTTGGTGCGATTTGGGACACGTGCATCAGTGCTTGGAGGGATCCCTGTGTGGTTTGCAGGAGCTCAGTGTTTTGTTCCCCTCAAGGTGCAGCACGTGGTGTCTCAGAACTGTGACGGGCTGCACCTGCGGAGCGGGCTACCCCGAGCTGCAATATCTGAGCTGCACGGGAACAT